AAGTAGTGTTGACTATTTTCAGGTGGAGTCAATAAATGAGAATTTAGGAGTCTCGGGATATGCTTCACCTAGATCTAGGAATGTTGGTCTTTGTTTCTATTTTGAGTTCTCATGACAATAGTTTCTATTTATTTTAGTTATTAATAAAGAAAGAGTTTGAATTTCCGCTGCAATGTTTTGGTTTGAGTTAGTAGTTTTGAGTAGCCTTGCGTAATCACGCGGCGGTAATACGCCTAAGTTTATCTCTACAGTATTATACTAGTATTTTTGTAGAGGGAGATTTGGGGGTGTTATAGAGAGAGAGAAAAAAAGGAAAATGAGGTCTGAGCGGCGGGCAGCAGCGCTGGGGAGGAAGGGGAAAGGAGGGTTGGGGCAACATCGACATCGGGGGAGGGGAAGGGGGTCTTGGCGGCAGCCGGCACTCGAGGGAAAGGGGGTTGGGCTGGCCGTGGGTGGCAACGGCTGTCTGTGGGTGGCTGGGTTGACGGTTTTGTTTTGTTTTTTTTATTTTTTATTTTGACTTATCACATGCTGACATGTGTATATTAAAGTTCAAAAAAAAAAAAAAAATTTACCCACTCAACGTGTTACCGGTCAACTTGGAGTGTTATGAGCGGAAGGAGTATAAAATTCAGATTAATAAGAAATAATCGAAAGTTGGGATTAATATTGGCAGATAAGGCAAAGTTGGGATTAATCATGGCAATTTTTCCAAAAGAAAAATGGTATATTTACCAATCATTATGTAACACGTGTCATAACTAACTTGTTTAACTGGGTACCCACATGTCACGTTCTATTTTGAGCAGATACCCTGCAAAGGTCGTATTATTTTGGGATAATCAAAAGATTAGTCAAAGATCATATTATTCTTGACAATTTTTCCAAAAATTTATTCCACAACCTGTGGTATTTTTTGTAGAGATGATCACTGGCCGAGTTTTGACCGAAAAACCTCCCCAAACTCCCTATTTTAGGCCAAAAATAGTGGGCTTTTCGGGTCAAAATCAGATTAGGTCTAATTTTAATTAAAATTACAATTTTGAATTCCCAGAACTCCAACTTAAAAAAAAAAAAAAAAAAAAAAAAAAAATCAGACCAGGTCCAAATTTTTGGTCCAAAAATCCTAACGGAACCTGACATTTTTTCAAGACAAGCCAACTTTGATCAGTTCTAAATCTTGGTCCAAATCTAGTTGATATTAACATAGCAATTCACGATAAAATTACGTACCGATCGATGTAATTAATTTTTTATTTTAGTTTTGGCTTCTTTTAAATATAATTATGGTTTTTTTTATTACTATGTTTAGTATTTCAATTTTACTCATTCCGTACCATTCAACCAGTAGCTGTTATACGAAGTATTTAAGGAACACAAAAAAAAGGAACTACTCATCATTTATTGTGTTCTCATCTTTTAATTACTTTGACCAATGGTAATTGAGTATAGTAACACATTAAATGTTTTTTTTTTTTTTTTTCATTAGAACCTTAACAATTAATTAAGACATCGTAAATAAGAAAATCTGACAACTAATAAGGGGTGTTTATTGTGGGAATGTGACTCTTAATGGGTTTGGTAATAGATTAGAGGCCAGGATAGAAATGGGGTTGTGAATATGTACCCTCAATTCGGCAATTCCATTCGTTAAATTTATGGTTATGTTTTGAGTTATTCGCAGGTATATACTCCGTAGGAAATACTTTGATAATACTCCGCTAGTAATAAAGGAATACCTGCATTGAGATTAGGTTAATATTTTGATAAATAGAAATAATCTCTTTGGAAGTGGTAAATATATTGTTAAAATAAAAGTTGTTGCATCAAAAATACGGAGTAGGTAAAACCGTACAATGAGTTAGAGTGTGTAAAATAATATTTTAATTTATAAATTATTAAAATGTACGTGGTAACAAATAAAGGAAACGTTAAAAAAAACATAATTACGGAATACTCCTTTAACTTTTTTAAAATGCATCAGTTTGATTGGCGTATTTGTAGAAACGTAACTTTGACCATTAATATATTTAATTGTCTATTAGTAAAAATTGTAATAAATTAAATTATGATAATAGACATTGTAACAAATCTAATGATATATTATGAGTATGAGTATAATAACATATATTTATTTATTTTATAATAGTAAAAACTATTAAGTCAAACACGATACGTAAATAATACAAAAATCAAAGTGATACATTCAATAACAAAAAAAAAAAAAAATGGAGGGCGTAACATAAAGGAACAGATTGACATCTCAAGGGTTTTTTTTTTTTTTGAACGAGAAGTATTAATATCATTAAATAATAGTCATACGTCATCTACATTGATAAAGATCTGTAAACGCAGATTTAGAGAAGATACCATAACTTTTATAATCAAAATCATAACTAATTTGCATATTTAGCAAAGCTCATACTCCACCGCTTCAAATTTGACGCGAACAATGATTTTCGATTTTTTTGCATCTTTAGAATAATTAGTTAATTGTGATTTCTACGATTACAAGGGTTGTGAAATCTGGTAACACGTAACTCGATAGTCAACAGACCAAATGAAATATTTTTGGGAATGTACATATTGAATGGATAAGATCCAACTATTTTACCGTTTTAGTTGTAGGCTAAGGCTATGCGTATCACTTCAACATCCCCAAAACCTGATTGTCTTTACTAGGGGGCATTTGCTCAAGTACACAAATGGAACTGCATATTTTTGGGAGAGCCAATAGTTACTCCCTCCGTATTTTAATAAGTGGTACACTTTGACTGTCACATAATTTTAAGCAATTTAATTGACTTAAATAAAATAAGAGGTTAGTGGGGTAGTTGGAGTATTAAAAAATTGTAAAAGAAAGATAGTGGGATTAATAATTTATTGTAAAGTAATGAATGTGAGAGGAAAGATATAATAAAAAAAAATAAGTAGTGAGTTTGGGTGGGGACCATGAAAGAGAAAGATATAATATTAAAATAAAGTTTTTTGCCAAAAAAGAAAGTGTAACACTTATTAAAACACGGCCGGATTTGATATGTGTAACATTTATAAAAACACGGAGGGAGTAACATGGATTATTACTACGTATTTTATATTTTTTAAAAGTATTGCTTCCTTAAATATATACTACCTCCACTATATATTAGTTTTAACTTAGCGGGGCGTTTGGAATGTGGGAATGGAAGTTTGGGGATTAAAATGTGGGAATGGGATTGGAAATTGATTGTTGGGAATATGTAAAAATATGGCAATACTTTGTTTGGGTGGTGGATGGGAATAGGTATGGAATAAATAAGAAAATACAAAATTACCTTTACTAACCTTTCTCCGAGGGAGACTTAATCAAAAGTGGAGAGGGTCCAATAAGTAGCAAGTGGGGGTAAAATCGTATTTTCGCGATTAAAATTGGGGGGGACAGGTTGTCAGCAAAACGGATGCCCGTTATGCTGAGTGTACCTAAAGCTGAAAAGTTCACGAAAATTTCAGCCAAAATTTTGGCTCTAACATCGCGCGAATTCCCAAAATAGTTTGTCTGAAAAAAATTCCACATTATCGATCAATTAAGAGAGAGAAAGCTCGAGTTGGATAGAGAAAGTGCTGGTTGATAGAGAAAATTCAAGCTTGAGAGAGAAAGTGCTGGCCGAGAGAGAAAAAGGTTGAGGATCGTCTTCAAGGTGAATCTCCTTTGAAAATCTTAATTTATTTATTGTGTAATTGTGTGAAAATTACTGATTAGTTGATTTGATTTGGTGGTAATTATGTTTGATTGATTCTTAATGTAGAAGAAATTAAATAATTTGATGTATTTTTCGATGACTTGATTATATATGTAGTTGACTAAAATTGCTCCATGTGAATTGTTAATTGTGGTGGATCATTTCTAGGGTTATAGTTGAAGACCATTAGTTCAATTTAGGGTTTGTGAATTGGGGATAAAGTGGAGGTTGACTGATTTGGGTCATGAATTTAGGGTTTTAGGCAAAGCCATTAGCTCAATTTAGTTCAATTTAGTGTTGATGATGCAATGCTTGATGAAGAAGGACCATTAGCTCAATTTAGGTCAATCTAGGGTTTTAGTTGAAGAACATTAGCTCAATTTAGTTCAATTTATTGTTGATGATGCAGTGCTTGATGGACCATTAGCTAAAATTAGTTCAATTTAGGGTTTTTCTTGAAGACCATTAGCTCAATTGGCATGTAATTATGTGTCGTTGTTTGTGGCGAGCAGTTCAATTAGTGATACTAATTATCAATTGAAACTTGTGCATGAACAAGTAGGTACTTAAAAGAACAAAAACTACATGCAAGTACAATAACAAAACAAAACATTATCATTCTAGCTACTTTGCTACTTACTTTATTTGGATATGAGATCAAGTTGGAGTACTTAATACCAACTGTGATTATAGAAAATTTTATGACATCAAGACCAACTTGTCATACTTGTTACTATCTTTTTCAAATTATGTGGTTGATTATATTGTTCTTGGTATGTGTAGGTTTGCTTTTTGTTGAATTCTTCTAACAATGACAAAGAGCAAGGCAAAGAAAGTCACTTGTAGAGGTAAATGGGGGGTAAGTTGTCTTGTTAAATTCAGCTGAGTTTTATGCACATGTTTACTCATATCTGAATTAATTGGTTGGACAATGTGCATTGTAATTGCAGAGGTCATTGAGGTAAGTGATGGCTGTTGCTCCAGCTAATTCCAAAAAGAAAGCTATAAAAGAACAACTTGAATGCAAGTAATGTTGTAATGCTGAACATGAACAAAGTGATGAGCAGGAAAGTTGTTACTCTAGTTCGGATTATGGTAGTGATTCCTCAGAGTCCTCCAAGGAGCCAAAAAGAGGAAAGAAAAAAGTGGCTGAGTCTAAGAGAAGTAGCAGGAGGTCTGGAAAGGGTGATATTCCTGAAATTTCCTCAACAAAACATAGGAAAGGTCCTAAAGAGGTCAAGATTGGTGACCCAAAAATTGAGATCTCTGCTAGTGATCGAGTGCGTAGTAAATGCCTTGTCACCTACACTTAGAAACAAAGGGCTAAAAATAGGGTAAGCACGCGTGTATGAATTTTATATTTGTGTAGATGTTTTCTAAGTCTTTTCTTTTGTCTGTTCAAAGGTCTTGGATATATATAACATTTATATAAATATTATAGTGCTAATAGTTTCTTAGATTATAGTGAAAATAGCAATACTTATATCTTTCGATCAGTTACGTTGTGTTTCCAGATTTGTTATAGATTAAATGCTCGCTTTCACAACAACTCTTTTTTATAAATTCTTCTTTGCTCTACCATTTGCAGCCTCCCAATGTAATTTGTAGGGTGGATGCTTGGAGCAAACTGATAAATGACCTTGATTCGACAAGAGTTGAAGCTGTCAAGGCAATGGTTTTTGGTGGGTTGTTGGAAATTAAGCTAAATTTCCTCCTACAACAACTTATGTTATTGGTTGATGTCTAGGGTTGTTTGCGATGCCCTTGTTATTGGTGATATGGAGTTTCCTTTGTGCCCCGTTCAAGTTAATTGTGTTCTTGGATTACCTATGGGACAATTACAAGTCCCAAATGTTGTAGGCGTAGGAGAAGCAACTCCTGAGTTGGTTGATGTTGTTGTTGAAAGATATGGTACCCTTCAAGAAAATATTGACGAAGATGGTAATGTTAGGTCGATTGTTAAAATTAGTGTTGATGAAGCAGTGCTTGATGTAGTACGAAAGGACGACAAAGGTGATGATGTACCGTAGGATACCGATGATGATCGGAGAAAGTTCCAGATTGCTTTCCTTGTGGCTGCTTTAGATTTGATTTTGTGTCCCACAACAGATGGTAGTGTCCTGGCAACAAGTTTTTGCCCCTTGTCACAGTTGCTTCCAAAGAAGCTAATTACGATTGGTGCTCTTTTGTTCTAGATTGGCTGTTAGATTATGCTAAGATGTTTCTGAAAAGGTTTGATGCCAAGGGATATGTTGGTGGTTGTGGAGGGTGTACACTTTTTTTAGCGGTACGGTCTTAGTTTATAAGTAAATAAATTCTCATTCCATTCTCCTATACAATAATATTCTAATTGATACCACCCTTTAATTTTGTGCTGTTGTTCAGACATTTTATTTGGATCACTTGAAAAGAACCACCAGTTCAATGGAATGTCTTTCCACGGGTGATGGTGTGGGATTCAGAGTTAGTGCGCCGAGTGTTGGAAACTGATAGGACTAAAACTAAGGACTATGGAGAGTTTGGTGTGAGTATTGAGTCCTTAGAAGTTGATTTATGATTATTTTCTTATGTTGGATTGATTGTCAAATGTGTAATATGCTTTTTTAAAATGAAAATCCACAAATATATTATAGCAATGGTTGACCTTTACTGGACATTGCTACATGTTGATGGTTTTTTGTTGTCCTTGTGCATTAACTCATTTGATTTTGTTGTTTTCCCAAAAGGTTGTTGATGCTTCTTATGGGCATAAACATTCGAGGATTCATAGGGATGGTACTTATACATTCGCTGAGGAAGATTCATCCGAGGTGAATTTTTGGCTAGTCCATTTAAAAACATGTTCATATGGTATATTACACTTTGTGTGGTAATAGGTTATATGTTATTGTATCATGTTGTGAGGCAAATTGGGCCAGAGATATAGAAAATGATTTTCGGAATGATAATTGGGCTGAAGGAAGCCATGGCAGTGAATTGGGAAAAATCACATCATCCCCCGAATGAGCCGTTTATATCTCCTACTTTGTTTCGGTATGAATGCTTTGATGACATGCCTTTGGAAAGGCCATCCCCTTTTGAAAAGCCTGACGCAGGCCCTATTGAGAAGTTGAAGGTAGCGGGAGTTAGCCTAGAGTCACCATCGAAAGATAATTCGCTTGAGGGTAGGTTAGCTACTTTAGACCATACAATCAACGTCGGTGGTATATAAGTCCCCATTACGTTAGCTGTAAGCTTTGTAGCGAAAGAAGTGGCAGATGACATCAGGTAGGAAGATTTAGAATGTAACGGCGACTCTATCAATGGCAACCTAGCTAGATCTCCAAGCGTAAGGCCATCAGTAGATGTGACTGCAGAATATCGTAAGTTGTCAGCATTTCAGAAAGATATGATTCACTTCATTAGGAGATGGGGTGAAAATAAGCGGAAAGGAGATTGGTAAATAAGCATCCCTCCCGCTTACCTTTAGTTTACGCATGATTTTCAATAATAGTCACTTACTTAATGTTATGGATTTTTTACTTTCTATTTCACAATCCTGGGCCTATACTTATTCGATGTGATGGCTATGAAGCATCACAGAAGGATTGCTATGAAGTCCTTCACATGAATGGAAGAGTATCAACCGGATTTGTGGGTTTGGCTGCTGTTCAATACAATAAGAGTTGGGCATTGAAATATTCCGGGTTTACTAAGAGAATAATGCTTGATCATTTTTTTTGCAGTATGTGTTTGGTTATGTTGGGTTTTGATGGTTCATGTTTAGAGTAATATTGCAAGGCACATTAAGTTGATTTGACCATTTTTGTAGGCTCAAGTGAAGGCTGGGAAGCATGCTTTGGACTTGCTTGGAAGAAGATGGTCAAGGCCTTCCGGTACATGCTTGACATTTGATGTTTGTGTGGTATGGAAACATGATGATATTCTTTATCTCAATCTTGGCAAAATTATTTTGCAAGTTTAGTTGAAATGGATAATTACTGTCTAACCATATTCACATGTGAAAATTAGGTGTTCGTTCCAGTGTTGGAGAAAGAGCACTGGTGGTGTATTGCCTTTGCCCTCCAGCATAAAACAATTTGAGTGATTGACTCCCTCTTCATGAATGCATTGGCCGACCACGAGACTACAATTAGGGAATTGGTAAGATCTCATATTTTCCTCATTCTCGTTTATGCGAAATCTAAATGGCTAATTCCAAAACTACTTACTTCTTTTAGATACAAGCTGTTGATGTGATGTTACATTGTGTGGATCATACATGGTTGGTTAATAAGTTGCCCAAGTGGGAAATAAAGCAATTGGAAATCTCCAACAAACAGATAAGTGAGTACAAAAATGGTCTGTTGGTAAATTTATTTTTTTATTAATTGCACATCTCCTGTTTTCAAACTACGCAATTCTTGTAATGCAGCAAGGTCTATGGAGTCTTGATGCTACGCTATATGAAGCTATGTTGTGAACGGTTTGCACCCGAAAGTGGAACGGTATTCTTGAACCTATTGATTTGTGGACATTATGTATGATGCGCTATATGTTTAGTCTAATATAGTGGTTGTTTTTCTACATTGCTTTGTTTGCTCAATTATTTGCCCTAAAACCTTAACATTTCAATGTAGGTTTCCATTCCCAAAGCTAGACTCAATGGATGATCATCCTATTCATATGATTTTTACAATGATAATAAAGTACATTGTCGTGATATATACATACAACAATACACTATTCTACTAAAGTAAAAGGCACTGTATTTTCTAAAATTTCCTTTACTCTCTTAAAAAAGAAAGTGATACATTATAAATTTAATACTTAAAAACGAAAATGATGCAACTAGTTTAAAACCATTTTCCTTTTTAGAAAAGTGATACAAGTGAAAAAAAAATGTAGTGGAGGAAGAACTACAAAAAATCTTACTCGTAATAGCCTTTAGGCTATTACTGCCCTACCCCATACTATTGTAGTCACTTTGGGTACTATTATGTCAAATAACCTTAGGGTATAGGGTTAAGGGTTTACGATAAACGAATTATGTCTTAGGTTTCGTTATGATTAATTTAACTGTACATAAAGATAACTATAAGTCATACATTATAAATTATTACGGGAAAATGAAACAAAGTAACATTTATTACCAAAAATCATGTCATTGTTATTAGGTATTGCAATTCAATCCGAGTTCGACGATCCTTTTTGAATGACAAAAAATCTAATTGGAATGCATTTAAAAATAACCCGAACCAAAATACGCATTTTTAGCTGCGGATAGGAGGCAGATCGAGTTGGACCGTGCGTAAGGTCCGAATAGAAGGCAGATCTTTTTTGAATGACAAAAAATCTAACTGGAATGCATTAAAAATAATCCAAATATTTGGGTGCGGATCGGAGGCAGATCGACTTGGACCCTGCACAAGTTTGAATAGAAGGCGGATCAGACATTGACCCTGCGCATGGTCCGATGGAGTCCGATCCCACAAAATTGTCCTAATATGATGTGTAAATTCAACAAGTTAAAATTATATACATTATCAAATTATTTTCTTACTAATATGATGTGTTAAAAAAAAAAGAGACAATACAAGTTTTTGTAATAAGCTTTTATAAGATTCAGGGTGTAAATTCAACAATGAGGGGTTAATAAATTATTCACACATTATCATTACTTGGTTGATTAGAAGGTAGCTTTTGTGGTGTTACTCCCCTACTCCATACCGTAGGGTAGTTATAGGTAAAGTAAAGTTATTAATTTTATTTAATTTTTCATTAAGGGTTTGGGTTTTAATTATAGGGTTAAAATAAATTTAACTTCACATAAATGATATTTAACTACATCAATATAAATTATTTTTGTATTGTTGGCCACTATAAAATAACATCAAATGAACCTTAAAGTCAAAAATTAAACAAACAAGTAAACAACCTTCATATGTGTTGGCCACTAGAAAGCTAACATTTATTACAAACCATCATTTCTTTCTTACTTTACTTCTATTGTATGGCAAGCGTTATAGTTTACTGGCCTTCCTCTTTAAATCAATTGGTTACTAATATTTAATGTACTTCTAATAATGTGAATTAACCTAAAGTCGTGATAATCATGTCCGAAATGTTAAATTATATTTCAATTTCCCAAGTTTTTGCAAGTGAATATTGTTTGTGCAAATGAAAATATGAGGCTTTTTAAAGTGCTTATACTTTCTTATCATTTATTAAGTGGTTGAGAAGGTAGCCCTTATGGTTTTTAAAGTAGGTCATAATAGTCATAATTCATACTCCAACACCCTTACACATCTATATAATAATAAGTTCATAGGCATAGTAAGTAATGCTACAAATTAATTTATAAATATAAATCAAAAGTAAGAAAAAGAGTGTTTATCTTGTTTTACTACTCTAACGTGGCTGCACCCCAAGGTTTATTTTTTTCAAATATTACTAATTTTTTTTTTGTTACTTGGTATAGGAAGATATGGTTACTTCTAAGATGACGAGAGGGGGAAGGGAGGAACGGGTAAAGAAAAAAAATAATTCGACAAAGGAGGGAGGAGGTGACTATGGCACAGTTGGAAGACTTACTTAAGCAGATGGATGAAAAAGGGAAGCATGATGTTAAGTGCCTTATTGGTACTCATTATTTCCTAGAACGTCAAAAATTGATGTTGCGAGGACACCAAATGAGTACTATCACTCGCCTTGGGTTTGGGGCCGTTACAGGTATTACTTGCCATCCCGAGTATCTATTCTTAACACCTATGTCACTCGGCAAGGCAAAAGAGTTTAGAAAAGAGGTCTATTGTAATATTTTTTACCTCTTAAATTATTGCAAAATGTGCTTTAGCTTTAACCTAGCTCACCTAAGGTGCACTTTACTTAATTGCTTTATCTTGCTCCCTAAGAAGGGAATTGGATTTTTCATGCCCTTGGAGAATTGGCTACTCATGGTTCAAGAAAAAATGGAACACCACAAAAATGACCGTAAAGTTTGGAGTTTGTTAATGTTGGGTAGGAAATTCTTTGATCCCAAGAAAGACCTTGTCAAACCCATCTTAAGTACGGAATGGGTTGGCTTCTCTCATAATTATTTCACTATAACTTATTGCTTAATTGGTTATGGATATGATGCAAAATATGTCCAATTCAAGGCGATGATGTTTGAGAAAAATGGTTATGACCTTACTGCCCACAAGGATCTTTGTGAGGCCAACCCCTTCAAATCTAGTGATTACCTAGAGGAGTACCAAATAGTGTTGTATTTTGCTAGAAAAGTATGGATTAGGAATTTATTTTTTTGACAGTATTTGGCAGCTAACTTCGGCCGATGAATGGAGTGGTGAAGATGAAGGTTATGCGACCCCCAAATCAGATGAGGATTGGGATACGGAAAAAGGCGAAGATGTTGGATCAAGTGAAGATGATACTGAAAATGAAAGCGAAGATGATATCGAAACAACGATGATGTGTCAAATGACGGAAGCTAAGAGCTCTAGACTATTACGGGTTTGAATATTAATTAAGGTTTTCTAGTTTGTCTTCTTTAATTTAAAGTAATGAAAGTGTTACACTTTGTATGTATGACGTAGTTTTTTTTATAAAATATGGGTGTAATGATGGTCATCGGGGTCTATTTATGTAGGTAATTATTAGTTAATGTTTTTGTAACTATTGGTGCATTAAAGTACAACCCAATGTCTTTTTCATTGTACTAATATCATCCCTCTTATTAGAGGAACTTACATTATTATATTATTGTTGTGTTAGTTCATATTTATTGTACATGATTTTTTTTTTTTTTTAATTATGTAGTGTGATAGGGTGTTTTTCTTCTTATTTTAGTAAGGATATTCAATTTCGTTATTTCGATAGCACAACTGTCACTTAATTAGACTAGGAAAGGAGTCATATTAATTGTTGCATACATTATTTTGAGTTATTATGAAAGTTGTTGAAGTAAATTATACAAGTTATAACGAAAGGAATATTATTAGGTAGATAGAAATATAAAGAGGTGACTAGTAGATAGAAATGTAAAGGGATTGACTAAATAGAAATGTAAAGGAAAGTAACTTTAAATAATAAATATAAAATGTAGTAAATAATGTTTCAATAGGTATGAAGAGAGAAAAAGTATTGTTGGAGCACTTACTTATATGTTTGTGCTCAAGAGGTTGCTACATTTGATTAATAGATACTTGGTAGTAGTCCACAAATTTAACAAAATATGTTTTGACAAGTGATTCATTTGATTAATAGATATTTGGTAGTAGTCCACAAATTTTAGTAATAAAACAGATAAAACTGAAGTTCCATAAAGTTTAACAAAATGCAACATTTAGTAGCCGTACATTAGAAGCTTAATTGCCCATTAAGGTCGTACATTAGATTATATCCACGCTTGTATTGAATCTTAGCTAATATTTCAGTTGCGTCATCTCCGGAAGAACTGCTACTTGAGGTGATCATAGGGTCCTTGTCCTCTTCCTCCTCTTCTTCCTCCTCGTCCTCTTCCTCTTCCTCTTCATCTTCCTCATACTCAACCTTTGTCCGATGCATCTAAAAAATCACAATACTTAGATTAAATTGAAGACTAATTTTATCTAAAATAGTTAATGAATAAAACCTTGAATTTAAATATAATTTATAACTTAATCACCATATTTATTATTAACTAAACTCATTGTTTTTAATAGAACCTTACGCTAAAAAAGATAATGTAGGTGAAGTGACTATATTAATTTATTTCAACCTAATAAGAACACTAAAGCCTGAAAAGATGACAGAGCAAAAAATGGGAATCATTGTTTCAACATATCAACCAAAAATCTAGCAAACATACTTAAAGTGGGAGTTCAATCTATCTATCTAACACTTGAAGTCACTGACATGTAAATTTTCCACGACTAACAAAATCCACCTATATATACTTCCTACCCTAGTTCACTGACCCTATCATTTTTATATTACCATTTTTACTTTCAAGTTGAATTTAATATATGTTTTTTTTTTACTTGATATCATTTTTTCTTGCATTTAAATTCTTATCGACCTAACAAGTAACAACTATTACTATCAGACTTAAAAGCTATTTTAAAACATTACTAAATATGTAAAAATATAAATAATGAAAGCAAACAAATAAATGTCACTATCATGTATCTTGTAACATATAACTAGTGGAAATTGTACTTCCAAAAAAATAATAAAACCGAAAACCAATTTTCTACATAATTTATTTAAATCTCAAATTTGTTTTTTTTACTTAAAAAGATAATTGTATTAACATAGTACCAAATTAATATAAAACATAGTAAAATAAAATAAGTTGGAGATTACCTCGTATATCACCGACATAGCTAGACCCCGATAATTATACCCCCCGTGCTCGAAAAAATGAGTAAAGAGAACCGGATCCCACAATAAAGCCACCCCACCCGATCCATTAATCGAGCCAAAAACCTCAAGTTTGTATTTAATTCCCAACTTCCGTTCAACATAATCGAGGGCATCTTTAGATATACGGATTTCAGTGAGTACAAAAATTGAAGGTAAGTACTTGTGATACAAGAAAATAAAAGTGTCTTCGAATGAGTTTCTTATCATTCCCCGACAATTCCACAACAACACAATAGTTCCTTCGGGGATTGGAGACCTATTTTCAATATGAAATCTCTTTTCGGGCCTTACATGAGAAACAAAGTA